GAAATACTTAAAATTCCAGAGCAATTCGATTCTGAACATGAAAGCATATTTTTTAATGATTTATTTTTCTTGTTTTTTTGCAAAAAAGTGGATTTTAAAAGCAAATGACCCTTTGCAGGGTGTGGACAGGCACCATAGTTTAGTACAATGGATAATTTGTATTATGTATACAGGATAACATGTACACTGTAACGTGTACAGGATACCATGTACACTATACCGTGTACAGGATACCATATACACTGTACCGTGTACAGGATACCATGTACACTATACTGTGTACAGGATACCATGTACACTAGGATGGCAGACTGATCTAAACAAATATATCCACAGGGGGCGGGAATACATTTGTCTAACTATGTTGGGGCTAATTATCTATCTATCGAAATATCTATCTATCTATCTAATATCTATCTATCCTAGTATATCCAATATTACTAGTAATCCTTATATTCCCTTTAATCCTAGTATTCCTTATATTCCTTGTATTCCTAGTATTTATTGTATTCCCTGTATTCCTAGTATTCCTTTATTCCTAGTATACATTGTATTCCTTGTATTCCATGTTTTCCTTGTTTTCCTAGTTTTCCTTGTGTTCCTTGTATTCTTAGTATTCCTAGTATTCCTGGTATTCCTAGCATTCCTAGTATTCCTAGTATTCCTGGTATTCCTAGTATTCCTAGTATTCCTGGTATTCCTAGCATTCCTAGTATTCCTAGTATTCCTGGTATTCCTAGTATTCCTAGTATTCCTAGTATTCCTAATTTCCTAGTTTTCCTAATTTCCTTGTATTCCTTGTATTACCTGCATAGTCCTAGTATTCCTAGTATTCCTAATAATATTCCTAGTATTCCTAGTATTCCTAGTTTTCCTAGTATTCCCAATATGCCTTGTATTTCTTGTATTCCTAGTTTTCCTAGTATTCCTAGTATTCCAAGTATTCCAAATATTCCTAGTATTCCCAGTATTCCTAGTATTCCTAGTATTCCTTGTATTCCTGTATTCCTAGTATTCTTTGTATTCCTAGTATTTCTAGTATTTCTAGTATTCCTCCTATTATTAGGAAAGTAAAGTATTTCTATGATAATCTTAAATCTAAAAACCTCTCTGTCAATCTATTTGTTATCTCCTGCTATCTACTTTTCCATCTATCCATTTATCTATCTATCTATCAATCTATTTGTTGAAATAAACAAACACTCTTGGAGGCATGATCCTATCTCCAGAAAAACAAACATTTCTCTTCACACTAAAACCATAAACGATGGCTTCCAGGCTTTGAGAAACCCCATTCCATTTATATTTATTCCTTTATTATATTCAAATCCCCCCCTCCCCCTCCCCAATCTTTAGCCTAATTCTACGAATAGTAAACCGTAATGGGTTTTGTTGATATATTACAGGAGGCACCTCCTCCCCCTCTGTTGCATGCTGCCCCTCCCCCCACCCCTTTTTAATGTATATGCCTGTACCATAAAAATGTATTTGAAGCATGAAAAGAAGGAATTTAAATTATACAAGGAGAAACACAGCAATAAATGGATAAACTTGAAGTTATTACACCTCAGGGGAGGAATGGGGGGGAGGTTATTTTGTGGGGTTTAGGGGAAGAGTTTAAAGGTAAAGATGGAAGGAGAGAAAGATTGAAGAATTGGGTTTTACAAATTTGATTACAAAATTGTAAAAATAATCATAGCAGCTGCTGGTGTATTTATCTCTCTATATTTTTCTTAAAATCTCCCTTTTTACTATTCTTGTTTTGCATCATTGACCAAATCACTGCAAAGGATATAATAATATCTGTCATATGTTAATATTTTTCAAAAATAAAAGTAACTATTTTTGAAAAAATTTTTAACATACTTTTTAAACTTTTAAACATACTTACACCCTAACCATTAAAGTTAATCCTCTATTTTTTTAATGATCAGGCCTTGAAAAGGTGGACTAGGAACATGTATCACACTCCCCTATATCAACTCTAAGGGCAAATTTATAGGGGGGGCGGGGGGAAACCCCCCAATATATATTAGTAAAAACAGCCCAATCGGGATAGGGTTAACAATGAAATACTTTAGCAATAATATTTTTAGCAACGATATATTTTAGCCATTATATATTTTAGCAATGATATATTTTAGCAATGTTTTACTTTAGCAATGATATATTGTATGATGGATAAACCTACAATTGTTTGAAATAGTCTCTTAACGGTTAAATCCTTGAAGAGAAAACTGTTTCACAGTTTAATCAGGCTCTTCCTCAACCCATAGTGTAGAGTGTAGAGTGTAGAGTGTAGAGTGTAGAGTGTAGAGTGGAGAGTGTAGAGTGTAGAGTGTAGAGTGTAGAGTGTAGAGTGTAGAGTGTAGAGTGTAGAGTGTAGAGTGTAGAGTGTAGAGTGTAGAGTGTAGAGTGTAGAGTGTAGAGTGTAGAGTGTAGAGTGTAGAGTGTAGAGTGTAGAGTGTAGAGTGTAGAGTGTAGAGTGTAGAGTGTAGAGTGTAGAGTGTAGAGTGTAGAGTGTAGAGTGTAGAGTGTAGAGTGTAGAGTGTAGAGTGTAGAGTGTAGAGTGTAGAGTGTAGAGTGTAGAGTGTAGAGTGTAGAGTGTAGAGTGTAGAGTGTAGAGTGTAGAGTGTAGAGTGTAGAGTGTAGAGTGTAGAGTGTAGAGTGTAGAGTGTAGAGTGTAGAGTGTAGAGTGTAGAGTGTAGAGTGTAGAGTGTAGAGTGTAGAGTGTAGAGTGTAGAGTGTAGAGTGTAGAGTGTAGAGTGTAGAGTGTAGAGTGTAGAGTGTAGAGTGTAGAGTGTAGAGTGTAGAGTGTAGAGTGTAGAGTGTAGAGTGTAGAGTGTAGAGTGTAGAGTGTAGAGTGTAGAGTGTAGAGTGTAGAGTGTAGAGTGTAGAGTGTAGAGTGTAGAGTGTAGAGTGTAGAGTGTAGAGTGTAGAGTGTAGAGTGTAGAGTGTAGAGTGTAGAGTGTAGAGTGTAGAGTGTAGAGTGTAGAGTGTAGAGTGTAGAGTGTAGAGTGTAGAGTGTAGAGTGTAGAGTGTAGAGTGTAGAGTGTAGAGTGTAGAGTGTAGAGTGTAGAGTGTAGAGTGTAGAGTGTAGAGTGTAGAGTGTAGAGTGTAGAGTGTAGAGTGTAGAGTGTAGAGTGTAGAGTGTAGAGTGTAGAGTGTAGAGTGTAGAGTGTAGAGTGTAGAGTGNAGTTCCTACAGAGCTCTCGTTAAGATCAACTTCAGTGCTATGCAAGCTCCATTACCCCCTGTAGCGCCTGTTTGTTCTGGGAATGATAGTAGAAACCATTTAAACCATTTGTCTCATCTCACACGTACACTCAGACATGCGACATTTTCTAGGATACTTAGGAGACATTTTCTAGGATACTTAGGAGACATTTCTAGGATACTTAGGAGACATATTCTAGGATACTTAGTAGACATTTTCTAGGATACTTAGGAGACATTTTCTAGGATACTTAGGAGACATTTCTAGGATACTTAGGAGACATTTTATAAGAGACTTAGGGGACATTTTCTAGGAATTTGGGAAACTTTATGGACATTCGTTAAAGAGACGGGATATTTTTAAGAGGACTTTTTCCAGGGGGCTTATGGGACATTTTCTTGTAGGTTGATGAGGGAACATTTTTTAGTATTCCGTAAATTTTAATTTGCATGACTTTAATAGAAGGGTTTTTGATTTTAAGTTCCTTTACTATTTATTTCAGTTTAAGGGGTTTTAAAATAATATAAAAATTAACGACAGATTGACCGTTCTGCAAAAATTTTATCCTCGTTCTTTTGTATTTATTGTTCGCTTTTTCTAAAATTGATGCTAGCTGGTCGAGCAAATTGAAAATGTCCGTTCATATTCAAGACTTTTCCGTTCAATTTCAAAAACTTCAGTACGGAACTTTGCCTAGCTCTGGTCTAAAAGTGTGACATAAAACGAATACGTGTAGACATGAAGCATGCCCATATAGGCATGAAACTTATTGACTAGACAAGACAAAAAGACAAGTAGATGTTTGTAGATAAACCAGACAAAAATACGAATAAATTAAGATAAGTTGAAAGACATGAATACTAACTTCAAATGGAAACCAATGTTTAATGTTCAAAGAACTCTGCAAAAAGTATTTCGGCGCTGTTGCTGATTCAGAGACGTGCAAAAAGATGTACGTGCCGGTTGGCGTTATATCTGCAAACAAGCATGCGAGTCATTTGCAACAAAAATAAAACATAGAAGGACTAGTCATACAAAATATAAAACTGTGCAGAGCTCAGCCGGCCAAAAAGTAATAGCAAAATAAAATGCAAAAAACAGACCTCCAAAAAAGAAACTATTAAAAATGAACAAATAATAAAAACCGGAGTCCTTTTTCTTTTTGTTCTTTCATTTAATAAGAAATGCCGCAACTTTTAAATTTAAGATATATCTGAAAAAATGTCTGGACTTTTTTCAATTCAAAAGAATGCAGAACCTCTCTTTTTATAACTTTATTTCTATTTTAGCGAGAAACGGCCATGAATCTTAACTTACAGTTGTGTGTTTTGTTATAAAAAGATAAAAAAAGAACGTTTAACAATTATCAAAATATATTTATTAAAAATAAACTCATATCACAGAGAGGAATCATAAATTTAAACATATTTCTATCCAGAAAGGTATCTTGCAACACAAAATTAATACAATGCAAAATATTCAAATATTTTCACGTTTTAACATGCTCTGTCTAAAAATTCGTTGAGGTCTGAGGAGAGAAGAAAGTTAGGATGAATTTGAATATCCAGGTATAGTAAAGAGCTAGGAAGGTTTAGAATATCCAGGTATAGTAAAGAGCTAGGCAGGATCTAAATATCCATGTTTTGTAAAGAAGCTAGAGGATGTTTTAGTAGTTGTCAATCTAAACTGTCAATTCTTTTCTTTTAAAAAACTCTCATTAATTACTAACGTTCACAAGGCCAGAGTTGGCACAGTGACCTAAAAGTGTATTATTTTTAACATAGGTTGTGATATTTCTTTGTTGTTTAAGTGAATAGTCTCTCCCTTTCCTGTTTATAGTGTATATAGAGTATATAGAGTAGAGACTGCTTTCCAGTAATATCAACGCACGATATCACAACATCGTTAAACCGTAGCAACAATAGAAGTTGACACAGTCACTTCTTAACATAGAGAGTGCAGGGGGGAGAGAAAGGTTATGAAGTTTAATGATGAGGGGAGAGAGGGGGAGGGTATTAAAAAGAATGAGAAGCATGAAATGAACGAAATAATCATAGTTGTGTAAAATTAAATTTTCATATTTACAAATTCACGTAATATTTTGTAAGAGTCTTTTCTCTCTTGGGTTATTCACTTGACTTGAACCATGAGTAAGTAAAGTAAGGTTTTGTCTTTCTCTGGGTCCTGTTTCAGAACCTTCTCCGGGTTCTGTTTCAGAACCTTCTCCGGATCCAGATACAGCTTCTTCTCCGGTTCCTGGTACAGAACCTTCTTTAGATTCTGTGTCAGAACCCTCTCCGAGTCTTTGTTTATCCTCCGGGTCCTAGATCAGAAACTTCTCCTGGTATTGGTTTTAAACCTTCTCCAGGTCCAGGTAAAATATCTTCCTAGGTATCTAAACCTATACATGAGTTCCTACAGAGCTCTCGTTAAGATCAACTTCAGTGCTATGCAAGCTGTGAGCCACAGCATTGAACCTCCCACTGTTATAGACAGGATCCCATCCGGAGTGGGCGTGTCCCGGTAGATGGGCGTGGTGCACGGGGGAGTGGGTGTGGAGAACATCACTGACAGGACTAACACTCTGAAGGTAGGGACTGGAGTAGTTGGGAACAAATTTATTATTATCTAGAAGATTATTCTCACTCGAGTAACTCCTGTAGTTAGAATAGTTGTTGGAGTAAACCTTCCCAGCAGCATAGTTTCCAGATCCTCCATATACCAAGTTGGAGTTCAGAATATCAGGTTGGGACTTGAGATATATCTCCGGGATACTATCCGACCCGTCCAGATCCTCTTGGTTCGAGGTCGTGTTTGTCGAGGTGCTCAACCGATCCTGCTGAATTCGAGGCCAGTCGGAGAGGTCTGGTTTAGAACTGACCGCCCGCCGACACGCCAGTAAAACGACGATAACAACGACCGTGAGAAGAAGACCGCCGATAGCCCCGGCTACAACCACCAGAAGCGGAAAAGCCTCTGAAAAAAATGAATAAATTAGATTCAATAAATAGTTTGCTTATCACATATTCGGATTCTGATGAGGGTCCGTCTTAAAGGGACTCATGACGTAATTTCGAGTGGCTCTTCGGTTCAAAATGTCGTGCAGTGTAAATTAATTTGTTTAAAGAATCGGGCATGTAAAGTTTTAAATGGGTTCGTTTGAAAAACCGTTAACAGTCCCTTTAAGTAAAAATTCTTGCGAAAAATACATTCTTGTGAGAGATGATAAGACTAAAACACTAAAGTGATATTTCCTAAAACGTGAACATTCTTCAAATACTTAACTTTCAACATTCTCAATATTTGACACTTGACACACATCTTAACTTAAGTATATATGAAGATGTTTCCAAAAACGATTTTCAATCTTTAAACATTTTATCTGTATATTTGCCCGTTTAAACATAAACAGTTTTAATAAACAAAAAACATTGATATATTATTCATACTTGATCAGCCAAAGCATTGTGAATCGGGCATTGCCATCTTTGCATGGAGGGTCACTTGAAATTACGTTCACATTTCCTTTAAGTTCTGCTATATCATCAAATATAGAAGCTGATAATAAACCCCTTAAACCTTAAGAATGACGAGAGTAAATAATGAAATATTTAGCAAAAATGTGGGAAAAATAAACCAAAAAGTCCAGCTAAACTAGACCTTGGAATTTGAACCCATTATTTCACACGAATGAAATGGAAGTGCGGTGGGAAGAGAAAGAAGGGAAGGAGGGGGGTGAGGTTAAAGTATGGGGGGCTAAGGTAAAGGGTGGGGTGCGCCAATAATTACCCCCCGCTCCCTATTTCCTGGAATAGTGCCACAACCTACTTTATAATCGCTACATATCACCACTTAGAAACCTCATAATCTCTACATATAACCACTTAGAAACTTTATAATAGCTACATTTAACCACTTAGAAACGTTATAATCGCTACTTAGAAACTTTATAATCAACTATCCAAAAAAATATAAATCGCTAAAGTTGTAAATATTCAAAAGCTTCAAAATATTGGTAAAGTGAGTTTATAAATTTTTAAAAACTTTTAAGTAAAACTTAAAACTTCATAATTTTGCCCCAAATATTTAAGCCTTAAACCTACTAATACTAAATGTAGAAAATACTAAAAGTCTAAAACCCACGCCCTTTAAACTTTAAACAAGGTTTGGAGTAAACTGTTAAAGCATCCTCCATACCCTCTAAACTTACTAACTTCAAACAAACGTTCATACTCCTCCCCCTAAACACCTAAGTACCCTAACAATATATATATATATATATATATATATATAGACCATATAAAATATAATAACATTTACTTGCAAATATTTTTTCGCAAAGGTTGTCCCAAAAAAAATTCCGGTATAAAGGAATTGAGTCTTTGGCACTAACTCCGATTTTCTAATAACTTTATATCTGCAACCCAATGTCATAGACCTTAGATATTTCAAAGTATGAATTCAGCTATATCAAATAGTCTAAGTTTGAAATATCAACGGTTTCCACCATCACATTGCCAAGATATAGGGATTAGAAAATTTTAATTTGTGGCAAAAACTCAACTACTTTACAAAATTTGTTTTAAAAGTAAGCCAAGATTTCATGTGCTGATTAAGTTTCAGTGATCAATAATTTAACAGTTTCCTTTTATTTTGCACACCCTGTATATTAAGGGTAATGTTTGTCCGTTTGTCTGTGTGTGCGTGTCAAAAATTCTGTTATTACAAGTGTCAGCTAGATTTGAATAGAGAGACTGGAACGATAATAAATGATAGTTTAAAATTTCGGTCAAATATCTTATATTTAACCATTTTTCAAATATTCTCAAATTCAAATGATCTATCATTTGTTTAATAAAGGAAATCTAATAGAGAAACTCAAAGCAAAAAATATACATTTAGAAGATTTCATTATAACAAAAAATAATGCCAACACTTTTCAAGATTTGAATGATTTGAAAATATAGCAATTTTTTTTTCAAAATGTCAAGCTTTTAAAGTTAGAAAAATAGAGGATATTTTACAGACAAAATACACCACCCCTCATTGGATTTATTCACTATGTATATCCCCTCCCCCGCTTCCTCCTAGGGGGGGGGGGGTATGCACCCTTTGTATATTACCTAGTTGGTTCAGCAGAATAATGGCTGAGGATGACCCGAGCTGGTTTCTAACAGAACAAACGTATTCTCCAAGATGTTTTGCCTCGGCAACCTCCACAACCAGGGTACTCCGGACCACCGAACCCAACCTCGTCTCCAGGATAGAGTAGAGGCTGCTACCCGGTCTCAGTTCTCGTCCTCGGAAGCTCCAGGAGAATCCCTCGGCCTCTGGAACACTCTCAGCCTCACAGATAACATGTAGAGGCTGACCAAGGGTGGCGTGCTGGACCTCACGGCCGGAGAGGATGATTGGAGGTCCCCTGACCTGGACCTGGGCGGAGGCCGTAACTGCTGGGAACCCCTCGACCTCCGCGTGGCAGGTATACCGGCCGGAGGTCAGGTTAGAGAGAACGAGGCTCAAATATTCTCCTCGCCCAACCTCCTGGAAAATAAATAATTAAAAATCAATTTATAGACAATTTTTTTAACATACACCCTGTATAGAAAACTACTTTACCATATCAAACTATTTGGGCTCCACCCTGTAACACCTTGTATGTATCTTACAAAAGTGCTTTAGATAAGATGAAGCATTTGTATAAAAACTAACATTTAAATACGTTGACCATTGCTAAATTTATTACTATGCTTAAATGAACCTAAACAATAAACTTTTAAATAATTGAAATAAATCTTAAATCGGTTTCCAAATAAAGATAATATAATCTGAAATGGAGTTTAAACAAGATCAAGTTTATGCAACCCCCCCCCTCCAGGGGTAGCTAAAGACTCCACAATAAATGATTATGTATAGAATGTGAGGAATATATATTGAGCCCCCTGTTGAGCAGATTTCTATAAGATTTAATCTAGTTTCTTTAGAACTTTCTGACATGGCTTTGTGATTCAAATTTTGAAGTTTAATATTCAACCTTAGGGGTTGCTGTGCACTGAATTTCAGGCCATAGGGGTTGGTGCGCACTATTTTTTTATGGGATTTAAGACAATAAATGCATAAACATTTCTGTGAAAAATGATTTACTGATCTAAATTTAACTTGATAAAGTATATAAAACAAAATTAAGTTTATTTTTAGTTGTCCAAATTCATGTTAAGGTCTGAAAAATATTATTTCTGCATAATTTTCATGGGTTTCAAATTAAGAGATAAATAATAATACACGAGACTGAAAACATAGAAAACTGTTTGATCGTGCTACAGCTGCTCTTGAACAGTTGAAACCTGACAAAGGTGGAGCTAGGATTGAACCAGGCTTGAAATAAATGGTTTTGATCCTCAAGATACCAAAAGGAGTTGACGTCGCTGCCTTTTTAACTATCTTTCACGACCCCAAGCCTATGATGCTCGACTTTGCATCTGGTTTGAGATCTTAATCAACACGGCGAACCAGACTCAAAAGTATTCAAAAGAATAGTAATTAGAAATACCAAATTTTAAAAAAACTAACATTTGAAAATTGCTGAAAAAGGAAAAAAGATAATCGTAAATGAATACCAGAGTAATAATAAAAATATTTAAGAAGGTGTAATTTACATCAGATTGCATGACAGTTCTCGTATAATGTATAGTAGCTAACCTAAACTAGCCGACCTAGCTGCAGACAATATTTAGATTTATCATCAATAGATGATTTGGTAAGTACAAGGAGGAGGGGTAAATACAGGGAGGGGGGGGAGTTTCAAATATATATTTATATAATATAACATCCTAATCCTCTCAATATTCTAACTTATTTAAAATTTAAGATATCATCGAAAGTTGCAAGAAAATTAGGCTTTTGGTTTAAAAAAAAAGATGGGACGTATTTTCAAACAATCCATATAAAACAAACATCATTGATCGCATTTGGTAGTAAAATATAAACAATTTAATCGTCTGATCGTTGTCTAACGATCGAAGACTTTATGCGGATGTATATATAAAATATATCCTATAAATGTTTGATTTTATCTATTCTTCTATTTATTTATTCGACTTATTATCTACTATTCATCTATCTATTCAACTATCTATTCTTCTATTTATTTATTCGACTTATTATCTATTTATCTATTTATCTTTTCGGCTATGTGTCATCAGTCTATTTATCTGTGTAACTTTTTATCCATCTATCTATAGTATTTTAAATGAAAGCAAGTTAAAGTGACTCCCCTTTTCAAAACCATTCCATTACCCTTTAAACTATTTTTCTATATGAAAATTGGCAGTTAGAACCAATTGCTTTAAACCATAAATATACATCTAATTATTAACCTAGAACTTTAAGCTCTATGATAATCTGAAACTATTTTACTCGTATCTAGCTATTAGCCATGTATTACTATTGTATGTATTGTATATCTATATATAGATCGTATTCAGCTATTAGCTTGTATTACTATTATATGTATTGTATATCGTTCAACCTATATATATCGTATTCGAATAATGAAGTCTGGGCGTTGGCTTAATGACATCTTTGTAACCCGTGAAAGAAATTAATCTAAGTCTAATTAATTAAATGTTTGTAATGATACAACGATCCGCTCGGAACAAATGAAGAATGATTAAAAAGAAGAAGAACAAGAGGAACAAGAAGAACAAGAAGAACAGGAGGAACAAGAAGAAAAAGAAGCACAAGAAGAAAACGAAGAAAAACAAGAAGAAGAAGATAAAGAAGAAGATCTCCAAGTATCTAGGTATACCTGGATACCTAGCTGGCCCCCTAGGTTTAAGGTAGACCTGGATAAACAAGGGAGGATCCTCTTCTAATCCTTCTTATCGCCAGGGATGCTCATATACCAACATATATATTGCATAAACAACTAGGAGATAGATAGATAGAATGATAGAGGAAGAAGGTTTTGAAGAAGGAACGATAGATGATACGAGAGAGAGAGAGAGAGATAGAGAGTGAGTGGAGATAAAACCTAGATCAGTTTACATATCAACTTATCTAACACTGGTCTAGACATGTAATCCATAATCAGGATCAGGGGCAATTAGGAGCACACCAAAATATGAACTTAGGGGCGATTAAAAACGTACCAATAATCTGAATCTAGGGGTAATTAGAAGCATACAAATATTTGAATCCAGGGGCGATTAGAAGCATATCAATAATCTGAATCCAGGGGCGATTAGAAGCATTCAATAATCTGAATCCAGGTGCGTTGAAAAGCATTCCAATATCTGAATCCAGGAGCAAATAGAAATAATCTGAATCCAGGTGCGTTCAAAAGGATACCAATATCTGAATCCGGGGGCGATTAGAACCATGCTAATAATCTGAATCCAGGGGCTATTTTAGGGAAATATGGCTTAGGGAGGGGGAGGGGGGGGATTGCATCTTAACGTTGAATATATTTGTTGTTCACACTTTGACCATTAAACTAGAACTAAAAACTATTCATTCACTCGTTATCAATATAATCTCCCAATAGATCTATTCAAATAAAAACCATTCTACTTCTTTATATGCTTCCAACCCAGTTAACTAGTCAACTTAAAAATTTAGTTTCAACTATAGTTTCAAAAATAACTAATTTACGAGGCTTTTTTGAATAGAAAAATAGGCTAAACTAAACTAGGTTCTCTTGTTAGTGCAGCCTAATAAAATTATGTTAAGATCCCTATCTTACTCTCAACTCAACCCTATTTGAAGCAAAACTTGTAAATTATGTAGTTTGGTCTCCTCCTAGTTCTCCTAGTTCTAGCTCAGGGTGGAGAAGAGAACCGGTATATGCAGATCCAACCCGGAGTAATTAGCTCCAGGTTTAAGAACTGTATCATCATAATTACAGTTCTACAGACTTTAAACCTTATCATTTCAGGACTAATGGAGCCAAAAGCATTGTTACTTCAGACAGCCGTTGAGCTACAGGGCTTTATAAAAAAAATGAAAAATTCCTAGTGACACCCTGTAGAGAAATTAAAACTAAATCAACCGTCGAAAAGATAATCTTGGCCCAGTGAGTTGTGACATTTCATTTACAAATCTGTTTGATTAGAACTCTGAACCCAGACTTGAGAAGTTGGGAAATGAGATTTTGAAAACTGTTAAATTTCAATCAAATTATTTAATATTTGGAGGAATAATTAAAATCAGATTAGAAGTTTTTCTTCAACTGAGGATTCGTAAAACACCCCCCAAAAAATGAAGGCACTGTAAGGACATTTAATTCATGCTGTTAACCAGGCATTGAATAATTATTGAGCTTACTATTGAGTTTACTGCTTGCTTTCTTGACTAAAATGTGGAGTAATTAAGGTTTGATAACTCGTGAGATATATCTTCAGTATAGGATGAAGAGATGACAAGATATCTAGATCTTAGATCTTTCAACCAGTTTTTGCCAACCTTACAGATTTAATTAAGATGAAACCCAAGCTTTAGACAACTTACATTTAACATCTAGAACGAGCTGAGCAGATCCTTGTCCTAGAGAGTTCCGAGCAATACAGGAAACAGTCTTCCCGTGGAGTTCTCGATCCGTCTCTATAATAAGCTCACTAGCTCCCCTGGCCTCACTGATCTCCTGTCCTCCGACCTCCCATCTGTACTCTAACTGGACTGGAACAGCCTCCACGTCACAGAGGACGCGAACTTTATCTCCCTCGTAGATTTGAGCAGGTTCAAGTTTAAGTTGAACCTGAGGCTGGAACTGGACCTCGAGGCTGGTTTTAACAACCCTGGTCTCAGATTCTACCGTGTTTCCAGCCTCGCACTCCAGGACGAGGCCCTGCATAGTCTTGTTGACTACGAAGGTGAGGGTGGAAACGGTTGCCATCCTTCTGCTGCCCTGCATCTCCTCGACCTTGGTCTCAACCCCCTCCTCAACGTGTTGACCGTTCTGTATCCAGCGGATAGTACTAGCTGGTCTTCCGCCCTTGGAGATACATTGAACCATGGAAGTTTTTCCTTCGCGCAGAACCAGTTTACTTCCAGCAGTGATCACTGGAGCTTCGGGAGCAGCTAGAACAGAAATTTCGGCATATTTGGAGCGGATTGGAGCCACGGTTTCAGTTGCTCCAACTTGACACTGATATCTACCAATATCTTCCAGAGTTGCGTTTACAATTATCAAATCCCAGGTTTGGTTGTTTCCGGTCATTCTGTACCTGTCAAACCCAGCCAGCTCACGGTCAGTTCCTAAACCAAAATCATCCTTAGTCCACTGCAGAACTCCGGATTTGTTTTCAACCGAGCACTCTAATTTGATGGTTTCACCTTCCATAACTTCCTGTAGCTCCTTGGGCTCATGGAGAAATTTCTGTGTGTCTTTTAATGTTTGTCCATAAATAGTTTGAACAAATATACTCAATCCTAATATTGCCACCATTATATTCAACATTTTGACAGATTTATTCAATTAACTAAGTTTGTGATATTTCAAGAGTCAAATTGTGCACATATTCACTTCTCAAAGGTTGGTTGAAGACTGAAGGTAGCTCAAAATATTGGGTTACTCAGGTGTCTCCGGCCCGGTTCGATAAGCCGGACCGGGTCCAGCTTGTTCCAAGGGAAACTGTAGTCGGTTCGGGACAATTTTTGCGCGGGTTTTACGTGCGGGGTCAAGTATTGACCTGTAAGGTGTAATCATCCCGCTATGAGCAGAGCAGCGCCCCGGAGCATTCTCAATTCTAATCTTCTTGTTATACCCCTTCCTTCTTTCTCCCCATCCTACCCAGACCCTCAACTCTTTAGTTTCTCTCTTTTAATCTTCTCTCTTTTCTGTAAAACTTTATATCTCCTTCTTCTTTCTTTCTTTCCTTCCCCCATAGGGTTAATTTTCTCATGTCCTGCTTTGCTTCTCTCACTCTCTTCTTCTCTAATTCTCGTAAATCATCCTTTCTGCTTCCCTCCTTCTCTTCTTCTCTCCATCAATCAATCTCCCCATCTATTCATCTCCCCTTTCGCACCATCTTTCCTTCTCTCCTTCTCTTCTACTCTCCTCTTCTCATTCTCTACTAATATATTTCTCTCCTTCTCTCCTTCTCTCCTTCACTCCTTCTCTTCTTCTCTCTATCAATCAATCTCCCCATCTATTCATCTCCCCTTTCGCACCATCTTTCCTTCTCTCCTTCTCTTCTACTCTTCTCTTCTCATTCTCTACTTATATATTTCTCTCCTTCTTTCCTTCTCTCCTTCACTCCTTCTCTTCTTCTCTCTATCAATCAATCTCCCCATCTATTCATCTCCCCTTTCGCACCATCTCTCCTTCTCTCCTTCTCTTCTACTCTCCTCCTCTCATTCTCTACTTATCTATTTCTCTCCTTATCTCCTCTCATTCTCTACTTATCTATTTCTCTCCTTCTCCCCTTCTCTTCTTCTCTACTTCTCTCCTTCTCTCCTTCTCTTCTACTCTCCTCCTCTCATTCTCTACTTATCTATTTCTCTCCTTCTCGCCTTCTCTCCTTCTCTCATTCTCTCCTTCTCTCCTTCTCCCCTTCTCTTCTTCTCTCCTTCTCTCCTTCTCTCCTTCTCTCCTTCTCTCCTTCTTCCCATCTATCCTTCCCTTCTTTTCTTTCTTTTCTTATAATCTTCTCTCTCTCTCTCCTTCTCAACATTACCCTAACCGCCTTTTCTCTTTCTTCTCTTCTCTGTGTTTTCTCCATCTTGATTCTATCCTTCACTCCTATACTGTGCATCTTTTATTTCATTCTTGTTCTAAATCTTTCCTCGATTCACCCTTCTTTACTTTCCGCTCTTTTAAGGTAATTAAGTCTTTGTCACAAAATAAAATTTATATTCCCAATATTTTTGCATCTGATGGAGTAAACCTTTGATATTTGAAACTTAGATTATTCTATCAAACAGAATTCATAAGGTTTACAACATTGGGTTGTAAGGAAAAATAGATTAGAAAACCAGAGTTTTCAATATATATCTAATTTACAAATCTATCCACCTATCTTCTCTATCTAGAAACTATGTAAGTTGAAATATATTGAATATTCCGAAATATTTAAATATATTTGCGGACCTGAGGGTTGGGTTGAGAAGTATAATATGCTGATAAATCAGCTTGATTTATCAGAATACACCCGGAGTTTAAAGGTGCAAAGGGGCATGTACCGTTTATGATAGGGTGTCTTTAAAACTATGAAAACAGGGGAAAACTAATTTCATTTGATTAATTTTTTTATTTTGCGATGTTTTAAAGAAATTTATAAGGATTCCAGCTGTAGTTTGCCGATATTTTTCTGAAACACGCTATAGTGTATATTGTGTAGAGTTTTTCTGTTACACCCTGTGTATATTGTAGAGAGGATACCGCCTCCTCTGTGCCCATATCTCCAATATTGAAGATAAAACTGAAATGTATTCAGCTCACGTAACTACACGGAGTAATAATATCTTCATACACTCAACCCGTGACGGAGTAGGATTCAAGACGGAGTGGGATCGTAAGGATTTCGGACGGAGAAGATCAGAAACGGAGAAAGATTCCGGACAGAGGAGGATTAAGGGCGGACGAGGATTACGGGGCGGAGGAGAATTGAGGACGGAGAAAGATTGAGTATAGAGAAGGAGTTCAGGTTGAATAGGATTCAGGGAAGGAGAAGGATTAAGGACCGAGATTCAGGATGGAGTAGGATTCAGGCCGGAAAGGATTCAGGACGGAGAGCAGGATGCAATTTTGAGAAAGATTCAGGACGGAGACGGATTTAAGACGGAAAGAGATTTAGGACAAAGTAGGGTTCAGGACGGAGAAAGATTTAATAAGGGGAAGGATTTAGGACGAAGAGAGATATAGGACGGAGAAGTATTTAGGATGGAGAGAAATATTCTATACAGAGAAGGATTCATAAAAAGAAGAATTTAAGATTGAGAAGGATAAATAGCACGGAGTAGGATTTAGGATGGAGAAGGATAAATTGCACGGAGTAAGATTTAGGATGGAGAAGGATTGATTCAATACAGAGATGGGTTCAGGACGAAGAAGGGTTATGATGGAGAAGGATTTAGGGATGATTAGGTTTTAGGATGGAGAAGAATTCAGGAAGAAAAGACGGATTCAATTGAGAGAAGGATTCAGGACGGAGACGGTTTGAACTTGAAGACGTATAGAGAGATTTAGGCTGGAACATTATTTAGAACGGAGAAAGATTCAGGATTGTTAAGGATTTGTAGGACGGAGTAGGATTAAGGACGCGGAGGAGGATTCAAGACGGAGAAAGATTTAGGATGGAGAAGAATTTAGGACAGAGAAGTTTTTGGATAGAGAGAGATGCAAAATAGAGAAGGATTGAATTTGTAGAAAGGTTCAGGAAGGAGAGAAATTTATATGGAGAAGGGGGCGGAGAAAATTTAGGATTGAGAAGGATTCAATACGGAGATGGGTTCAGGACGGAGAATAGTATAGGATAGATTAGTTATTTTGACGAAGAATCAGGATGGAGAAGGATTTAGAACGGAGTAAGATTCAGATTGAAGAAGGATTCAGGAGGGAGAAAGACTTAAAGTCGACTGAGTATGAATGATGATTGAGAATGTATCTGAATGGACATTTATAAGATGTAGTAGGATTTAGGACGGAGAGACAGTTAGGACGAAGATAAAAGAAGGGAGAGAGATTCAGGACGGAGCTGAGAAGGATTCAATATGGAGAAAGATTCCGGATGGAGAAGAATTCAATATAAAGAAAAAATTAGAATGGAGAAAGATTCAGGATGGAGAAAGATTTAGAACGGAGAAGGATTCAGGACAGAGAAGTATTCAAGACGGAAATGGATTTAGGATGGAGAACGGAGAAGGATTCAGTCGGAAAAGGATCAGTCAGGACGGAGAAAAGGATTCCGGTTAACACATTTGTATGCGATTCCATTAGCGCCTGATCCAATCAGGGTTCAGATATACATGTGTTTTTTGTTTAATCTGAACCAATAGAAATTGCATGGCAGTATCATCTATCTTTCTATCTAGCTCATTATCCTCATATCGAGGCTAAACAGTAAATGGAAATATTTACTTCTACTGAAACTACAGTTGGTTGAAGAAGTGTGTCGTATTTAAGAAATAATTTATTACAGGGGGGAAGGGGGGGATACATGACTTATAAAAAGTGGGATTTATAGTTTAAAAAAAGGTAGTTTACAAGGTTGAGCATGAATGGGTGTGAACTAAAACTAGTTTCTAACAATTGATCTCTAAATTCCTGTGGTTTAATTTTAAACGGTTTAAAATTAGTGCAGTAACACCACTTTCCACGGGAATATAAAAGCATTTTAACAGGATACAGGGAGTTTCAAAAAACATAGGAAACATATGACAAAAATGATTTAGGGCGAAAAAATTAAACAAAAGATTGATTTTTTACATTCGATTCAGGACTTTTTAATACATCCATCAATTTAGCAGAAAAACTTGAGTTTTTTGTTTATTAAAAACATATATTTTTGTTTGATTAAAATCAGTTAAACTACATAAAATTAATTATGAATGTATCCTGCGTTTTTTATTCCATTATTCACTCCCATCTTCCGTACTTCTATTATAAGAAAATAAGCAAGTTAATAACTAACTCAAATCAGCATAGATTGTCTAATTAAAGTATTGTTTAAAGGGACTGTGGACCATTGTTAATTGCTGGCATAGAGAGACACAGGAATTTTCGTCGATGGTTTCTTTAAGTTTTAAGTGTTGCTGTTTTATTTTTATTTTATTTTTTTTTTCGTTTGGTTTGTCTGTAGGGTTAGTTTGTGTAAAGATGAATAAAAAAATCACATTTAATCCTATATAATATATTATAATCATAATATGGCGAAGAGGAACACTTGAAATTACGTCGGAGTTCCTGTAAGATTGTTTTTTTTTTCGTTGTAACATTAAATCGTTTCAGCTATAAATGAAAAAAATATTGATTTCAAATATTTACCTGGATATAGAGTTATGAGTGCAAGCCTTGTTGACTAATTTACAACTTTCACATATATACCTTATTGGGGTCGTAAAGATTACTAGGGGTCATGTCTTTAGCACAGAAATGCTCTAATTTTCCATGCCTCATATTCTCTATTACAAGAAAATTCGGAAATTATATAATAGAGATTACGCATAATTGCCGGGAAATAATTGAAAACCAAACATAAGAAGCGTCGCTCTACGCAATCCATCAAACCGTAGCTCCACGCCCTCGAAATGAAAGTATTACGCATTTTGCGTCAGGTTTATATTTAATTTCTATGTTTGGAGGAACGTGATGAAAGGGTGAATACAGAAAATTGGCGTCACATTTCAGTAGAAACACCATTCTAACGAATACGTGACATACGGTTTGACGCAATTCTCCTAATTCCCGCATTTTCGCAGATAAAAAGCGGAAAATTTTGGGGTAAACTCGTGAACTTATTTTGAAACATTGAATCTGAAATACGGAAAATAATTGGCTCAAAATTAGGCAATACAGAGTGAAAAGACAAAACATTATTGTGTTAAAACTCAATAATAAATATGACT